CAAATTTCATCCACCATACACACCATTACCGGGCCTGAACACCTCACAGTAATAGTAGGGTAATACTCGAGTATACCACAAGATCGAGGAGACAACACTCCACTCGACAAACAGTAAACCCATGGTTCGTTATCTAATCGACCAAACCCTTGCCGGTTCAACTCGATTAGCGACCAATGAGATTTGAGCTCAGATATCACAGTAAAGTCGTTGGATACAAGCCTCCAATGATATTAAACCATGCACAGGTACAGATTCACAGTTATACAGTAAACAGTCAAACGGAAAGAGAACGAGAGTGATAAAGTACACTCTCGTCTCATGCAGTATAAACAGTGTTCACAGTTATTCAGTCCAAACATTCGAATACAAACAACCATTTAAGCATTAAATCATGCAATGGTACACTCACCAGTTCAAGCAAAGCAAATTCACAAATTTCCGTCCGATGTATGCTTTGGATCATCGGCGCGTCCTATAAACAAGCAAGAAACAACAATTGAGACTCGAACACGGGTTATATACCTCTTTAATGAACTACTAGTGCAAGACCCAATATAACTAAGAAATAAAAATAAAGAACATTTGGTGTTAAAAGCATAAACAACCCCAAAACCTTTCATTCTACCCAATCTCAATCTAAACTCAAAGAAACCCAATATCCTCAAATTTTGGACAGCATTTCCCCCTTAAATTTCACATTTTCCATCCTACCAACAACCATTTACATTCATCCAAAACAACCACAAGTACACATACAAATCATAGGCTATTCAATACACCTCATTAGGGTTACAATACCCTTCAATCTTAGCCAATTAAGAGCTCAACAACCAACCATAGTAAAGCCCTAATTTGGAAACCCTAAAACTGAAATTTTGCTCTACAAACTGAAATTTTCAGCAAACAACCACAACTAACATATAAAAACTTCATTTTATACCATATCAAGCTGTCATTCCATGGCCAACCAATAATTATCATATAAGGACAGAAAAATCACCAATAAAATCTAAAATTTATCTAACTCTATCTCAAACCATGATATCTTCCACAAAATAGCATATTTAGCCATTAAAACCCACTAATTTACCATTATTAAGAACAAAGAGGGAATTTCTTGACAAAGTACCTTAGAACCACAAGAGATAAGGTAGCTTAGGGCTTTCCCTTCACTAATCACTCTACCAATGCCTTTAACCTTCTTTAGCAAGTCACTTTTATGGACAAATTTGAGATTTTAGTGGTTGAATTTCAAGATATAAGCAAGAAATGGAAGACAAAGGTTGAAGGTTTCTCTCTTCTCTCCTCTCAAGAAGCTCGGCCAAGAAGGAAGAAAATGGAGATGATTTTGGATCAAAATTGAGGTTTAGGAAAGTAAAATACCTTTGGTCAAAGTCCAACTTCTACTAGTTTCGCGACATGTGGCACCTTTTTTGTTTAAACCTATGTTCTTGTCTCTCCATGATTAATTCATTTAGGTAAGCGCTAATTATCTCATAACACCTAATAACTTAATCCCTTTATGCAAAATTTAACCTAATTGATCGAATTTATCGCACTTAACGCATTAGCGGGTCCCACGTCCAATATTCACTACTAATATCGCATGAACTAATTTATACTAAGAAAATGATTTTAAAAACTATATTCACTTATAAAATATCTAGAAAATTAATATAATAAATAAAATATAAAAAATGTATGCAAAGAAATAAAATAATGCCTAGAAATTAAGAAAATTTTCAGGTTCTCACACTCTCTCCCCTTTAAAGAATTTCGTCCTCGAAATTCCTTCCCTTGATTCGTAAACAGCTCAGGGTATTTCTTTTGCATCTCCTCTTCCACCTCCCAGGTTGCCTCCTCTACTCCGTGGTTTCTCCACAAAATCTTCACCAATGAAATTCATTTATTTCTCAACTCCTTAATCTTTCGGTCGAGTAACTGCACAGGTTTCTCCTCATACTTGAGTGATTCATACATCTCAATCTTCTCCGGTTGTAAAATGTAAGTTGGATTAGGATAATATTTTTTGAGCATCGATACATGGAAGATGTCATGAATACTGGGCAAACTTGATAATAGCTCGAGTCGGTACGCTACTTTTCCAACTCATTGAAAAATTTTGAAGGGTCCTACGAATCTTGGTTGAAATTTCTTTCCTTTATCCGCCGTGACACTTCGTAACGGTGTGATCTTAAGAAAGACACGGTCTCCAATTTCGAACTCCAAATCTTTCATTCGGTTGTCCGCGTAGTTCGTTTGTCGGTTTTGAGCTGTTTGGAGTCTTTGACGTATCAACTTGGCCTTTTCTTGTGCATTCTCCATCCATGGAATAGTCGTTGGATTTATAACTTTATTTTCCCCTACTTCATCCCAATAAATCGGTGATCGGCACTTTCGCTCGTAGAGGGCCTCGTATGGTGCCATTTGAATCGACAACTGATAACTGTTATTATAGGCAAACTCCACTATCTCCAAAATCTAATATGCAAGTTCTTAACATATTTTCGAGGGTTTGAATTGTTCGCTCGGACTAACCATCCGTCTGGCGGTGATAGGTGGTACTAAGGTTGAGTTTGGTTCGTAAGATTTCTTGAAATTTTTGCCAAAATCTAGACACAAAACCAGGATCTTGGTCTGAAACTATACTCACTGGAACCCCATGTAGCCTCACAATTTTATCCATGTATAGCTGAGCCAAATTTTCCATGGAATGCTTCATATTCACACGTAAGAAATGGGCCGATTTGGTTAACTGATCTACGATCACCCAAACGGCATCATGTCCTTTTTGGGTCCTTGGCAACTCGGAGACAAAGTCCATCGTAATATTTTCCCACTTCTATTCATGTATCTCAAGAGATTGTAACAAACCAAAGGGTTTGTGATGTTCAACCTTAACTTGCTGGCAGACGAGACAGGATTGTGCATATTGGGCAATTTTCCTCTTCATGTCATTCCACCAATACAACTTTCATAGATTTTGATACATCTTGTTACTTTCCGGATGGATCGTATATTTCGATCGATGAGTTTCCTCCAAAATTTCCTTTTTAAAGTTTCATCCTTAGGCACACCACTACTCGATTTCGATATTTCAAAATCTCTTCAGGACTCAAATTGAAATCGGGCAATTCCCCCTTCTCCATATTTTTCCTCCGCTTTTGTACCATCGGATCCTTCTCCTGGGCCTCTTTAATTCGACCTAGTATAGCAGATGTTACCCGGATATTTCCAAAAGTCACTTTTTAACGATCCAAACTAGGGTTCCACTCACTAACTGCTCCCAACATCTCCCACTCTTTGACCATTAACCCGGCTATTTTAGCCTTCTGACTTAAAGTATCGGTTACTACATTCGCCTTCCCCGGATGGTAGTTAATCGTGCAGTCGTAATCTACTAAAAATTTCATCCACCGTCGTTCTCTCATATTCAACTCCTTTTGTGAAAAGAGGTACTTAAGGCTCTTATTGTCAGAATAAATCTCAAAAGTTACTTCTTACAGGTAGTGTCTCAACTTTTTCAGAGCAAAAACAACTGCGGCTAACTCCAAATCATGGGTTGGGTAGTTCTGCTCATGAGATTTCAATTTCCTAGAGGCAAAAGATATCACGTTCTTATTTTGCATCAACACGCACCCCAATCCTTCCCTCGAGGCATCAGTATAAATGGTAAAACTATCCTTTCTGTTAGGCAAAGTTAGAATTGGTGCCATGGTTAGTCTTTTTTTCAATTCTTGAAAACTAACTTCACACATAGCATCCCACATAAAACGACTATTCTTCCTGGTTAAATCGATTAAAGGACCGGCAAGTTGCGAAAAATTTTTAATAAACCGACGATAGTATCCAGCTAACCCTAAAATGCTACAAATTTCAGTGAAATTTTTTGGCCTCTTCCATTCAGTCACTGCCTCTACTTTTGTTGGATCAACAGTGATGCCATCTTGGGAAATTACATGCCCTAAGAAAGAAATTTTCTCCAGACAAAATTCACACTTACTAAATTTGGCGTACAACTGATGCTCTCTTAGGGTTTGTAAGACAATTTTTAAGTGCTGCTCATGCTCCACTCGAATTTTTGAGTACGCTAAAATGTCATCGATAAAGACAACCACAAAATCGTTCCAAATAGGGTTTAAAAATCCTATGCATTAAATCCATGAAGGCAGCAGGGGCATTGGTCAGTCCAAAGGGCATGACTGCGAATTCAAAATGCCCATATCTAGAATTAAATGCAGTTTTTGGTACATCCTCCTTCCTAATTAACAATTGATAGTACCTCTGTCGGAGGTCTAATTTCGAAAAGACCACTGCTCCTTGCAACTGGTCAAACAATTCATCAATATGGGGCAGTGGATATTTATTCTTAATGGTCACATTGTTCAACCCTCGATAATCTATACACAGTTTCAAGCTCCCGTCTTTCTTCTTGACAAATAATATAAGGGCTCCCTCTGGAGATCCGTTCTCTCGGATAAATCTTCGTTCTAATAAATCTTGCAACTGCAATTTCAACTCCTTAAGTTCAACAGGTGTCATTCGATATGTGATTTTAGAGATAGGTGACGTCCCTGGCAACAAGTCAATCTTGAGCTCTATCTCCCTCTCAGGAGGTAAGGTCACTAATTTGTCAGAGAACACATCCGGATATTCATTCACTATCGGTACATCTTTTACCCTCAACTTATCGGTGGGAGTGTTTATAAGAAAAGTTAGGAACCCTTGTGCTCCTCTACTCAGTAGTTTGCTAACCCGAATATCCGAAATCAATGCAGATGAGGCTAGACTACCCCTTACATCTAACCTTAAAGTCGCCTCCCCAAGTATACGAAATTCTACCACTTTTCTCTTACAGTCAAGTTAGGCGTCATACTTAGCTAACCAGTCCATATTCAATATAACATCGTACCCCTTAATAGCTAAATTTATAAGATTCCCCAATAACTTTCTCTCTCCTACCCAAATTTCATAATTAACATACAACATACTAGTGATCAAAAGTTGGTCCCCGTAGGAGTACTAACTTTCAAGTCATAAGGCAAGTTAACAGGTTTTATATCAATACGGCACATAAAATCGGGGTTAACAAAGAAATGAGTAGCACCGGGCTCTATCAAAATCCTTACTAGACGGTGGAAGACAGGGATTGTACCTTCCACGATCTCAGATGAGTCAGGGACTTGACGTTGCTCAAGGGAGTATACCCGAGTTGGCATCTTTTGTCTCGTCTCATCCACCTTAGATTGCCCGAAGTTGGCCTTTGATGATTGCGGAGTTACTCTCGCTTCTCGAGGAAAAATCGGACAGTTAGTAATTTGATGCTCCGCACTCCCACAGCGTAAGCATTTTCTTTCCTTCCTCCAGCAGTTGTCCTCCGTGTGGTTTGGTTTCCCACAATATCTACAAGGCCGCCGAGAAACAGAGGCTGAGCTTTCCTGTGAGGCACTTCTCTGTTGGCCTCGTCCAACTGGACCACCCCTTGGCGAGATTCCTTGTGACACTCCCGGAAGTCTCACTCCTTCGGTCCCCCTTTCAAACTTGGGAGGGTTACCTTTCTCACCTTGCCCTGAATTATTTTCAGGAAATCCCCGTTTCCTCACCTGAAAGTTTCTAACTTGGAGTCTCGCATTTTCAACTCGCAGTGCTTTCTCCACCGCCCCATTAAATGTATTAATCTGGGCTACCGCCAGATCCTTTTGAATTTCCATATTTAGCCCCTGAATAAATCGTCGCACCCTCCTTTGCTCAGTTATGATAAGTTCAGGGGCGAACTTAGATAGTCTAATAAATTGGCTCTCATACTCGGCTACCGTTTGAACTCACTGGTGAAACCTAATAAACTCGTCCTCCTTCTTTTCCTGAACTAAAGGTGAAAAGTGCTTCGCATTGAACTCTCTCATGACATTTACCCACGTCCTTGGTGTTTGCTCTCTTTCCCACATTGTTCGAATCACGTTCCACCAAGAACGGGCGGTCCCCTCCAACTGAAAGACAGCAAAAGTGACCTGTCTCTCCTCCGTATAGTGTAAAGCCGCAAATATGTCTATCATCTTTTTCAACCACCTTTTGGCCGCATCGGGATCTGGTCCTCTAAGAAATTTTGGTGAGGAGAACTTTTGAAATCTTTCGAGAATTCTATCCTCACCCTCTATATTATTGGCAGGGTTTTCAGGTTGATGCATAGAATGTTGGCCTTGGTGTTTCACTACGTGGGCCAACAGATCAGTCATTCACTGAATAGCAGCTACTACCTGAGCATTAGGGTCGATTCTAGGCTAAGGATTTGGTTTAGGCATGGGTTCCCGATTACCTCCTTCGGTCGAGAGTTGCCTAATTCCACGTCCACAACCTCGTCTACTACGAGTACTTTCTATTGGTTTAATCGATCTAGGGTCGAGGCACAAATACAGTATTGAAGCAATAGATAAAACACCAGATAAAAGCATCGATGCATATAACACACAGGGTATCAAACAAGTCATACAGTAGCAGTCAGTCAAATATACACAAAAGTAATCCCATAAAAGTAGTGGGGTCATCCAAAAGTACAATATACAAAACTAGGCTCAAAATACAAAAGTAGCTCACTAAGAGCTTCCCCTAACTGTCTTTCACATGGGATCAAAACATAGCTCGAAAGAACTCTAACCTAGTTCCCAACTGAGCCCACGGACTCGCCCCCATGGCTAGAACTAGGCGTGTTCCCTTCTCTAGGTATCTCGCCGCCTGGAACCTCCACCTGTACGTTAGCGCCAATCACCTCCTGGACTAGCGCCTCGCACTCGTTAATGATGCCCCCAGACTGGTCTCGAATTTCCCTGACCACCCTTGTAAGGCGGTCAGTAGCCACGCGCAATTGCTCTCTAAGAGCATCGGTTCTCTCTTGTTCCAAAGCGACATCCCCTTAAAATTCGTGAATTTGGTTTGCTTGCATCCACGTGATGCCCCTCAATCTCGCCATCTCGGTTTGGTCCCGAGCGGTGGTTCGCCTAAGCCTTCTCCTCTCATCAAGGACGGCCACGACCACATGATCGATATAGGAGTAGTTCTGGCATCGAAGACAACGCCGAGTCCGACACGCAGTGCTTCAATGCCGAATCGGTCCTCCCGGCCTCTCCACGTAATCTATAACTCGAAATCGCCTCTTGGACGGCTCACCTCCGCCCTTTCTAGTTGTTCCGGCCATAACCTACAAGGATAGCGAAGGTTTAAATCTTAAACAAGGTAATCACACTTAACGGCACCTTAATACAATCCCTACAAATACTAAAAGCAAATGCCTAATTTCCTCCAGTCAGTTCTAATCTAGACTCTGATACCAACTGTGACAATCCCACCTTTCCCCAGGGCGTACCTTAAGGGTTAGCAGACTGCCTGCCCAACTCTCGTCAGGACTACTAAGTCAAACACACACGGGCTAAACCGTTCCGAATGATATTATAGCGCTCAAACGTTTCGACGACCACGAATAACGAAAAATGAAAACAAAACTGAAAATGAACAGTAACTGTCACGTTACAATCCTAGCTAGATCGGGCCAGATATCCGGCCGGATTCCTGGCCGGATCAAAAACCCCTACAAATTCGGCTTGATCCGGCCAAGAACTGTTCCCGCCGAATTTTTTTTTTCTTTCCTTGTGCAACTTTCGCACTCGTTCGCAACCCAAACAAGTACAAGTACTTCATCCAACACTAGTGAATGTACAATACCAAGGAAATATATACCACATAAACATAAGAAATACTTTTATAGACACACGTTGGTATGATTACAAATCAAAAGGGAACATTGGATCGAAATACATTTAGGATTTCCAACTACCGAAGAGCTATACAACAGAATAAAAGTATATCTAAGTAGCTCAACTCGCTTCTCAAAATCATGGTTCTAAAAGTTGTTCCTGTAAGGAAAACAAAGATAACGAGAGTGAGTTTACGCCCAATGAGGTACCAACAAGTCAGGTAATTAGGAATCACAGAAGTACACCTTAAACAATCCTAGAGAGTTCATTTAAATACCAAGGAGCACCCTATTTTAACGTGGAATAAAAGGATACGGATGGCACTCAAGTGCCAATTTTTCCTTTTTACCACTTGATTTGAACCCGTTGACCCTCTGTCAACATTTGCAAGTAATCACGTCCGTAGACTCCACTTTACCCCAAATTCCGTCTACCATACACACCCTTACCGGACCCGAACACCTCACAGTAACAGTAGGGTAATACTCGAGTATACCACAAGGGCGAGAAGACAACACTCCACTCGACAAACAGTAAACCCATAGTTCGTTATTTAATCGACCACACCCTTGCCGGCTCGATTCGATTAACGACCAATGAGGTTTGAGCTCAGATATCACTGTAAAGTCGTTGGATACAAGCCTCCAACGATATCAAACCATGCACAGGTACAGATTCACTGTTATACAGTAAATAGTCACACGGATAAGAGAACGAGAGTGATAAAATACACTCTCGTCTCATGCAGTATAAACAATGTTCACAGTTATTCAGTCCAAAGGTTCGAGTACAAACAACCATTTAAGCATTAAATCATGCAATGGTACACTCACCAGTTCAAGCAAAGCAAGTTCACAAATTTCCGTCCGATGTATGCTTTGGATCACCGGCGCGTCCTATAAACAAGCAAGAAACAACAATTGAGACTCGAACACGGGTTGTATACCTCTTCAATGAACTACTAGTGCAAGACCCAATATAACTAAGAAATAAAAATAAAGAACATTTGGTGTTAAAAGCATAAACAACCCCAAAACCTTTCATTCTACCCAATCTCAATCTAAACTCAAAGAAGCCCAATATCCTCAAACTTTGGACAGCATTTCCCCCTTAAATTTCACATTTTCCATCCTACCAACAACCCTTTACATTCATCCAAAACAACCACAAGTACACATACAAATCATAGGCTATTCAATACACCTCATTAGGGTTACAATACCCTTCAATCTTAGCCAATTAAGAGCTCAACAACCAACCATAGTAAAGCCCTAATTTGGAAACCCTAAAACTGAAATTTTGTTCTACAAACTGAAATTTTTCGCAAACAACCACAACTAACATATAAAAGCTTAATTTTACACCATATCAAGCTATCATTCTAAGGTCAACCAATAATTATCATATAAGGACAGAAAAATCACCAATAAAATCTAAAATTTATCTAACTCTATCTCAAACCATGAAATCTTTCACAAAATAGCATATTTAGCCACTAAAACCCACTAATTTACCATTATTAAGAACAAAGAGGGAATTTTTTGACAAAGTACCTTAAAACCACAAGAGATAAGGTAGCTTAGGGCTTTCCCTTCACTAATCACTCTACCAATGCCTTTAACCTTCTTTAGCAAGTCACTTTTATGGACAAATTTGAGATTTTAGTGGTTGGATTTTAAGATGTAAGCAAGAAATGGAAGACAAAGGTTGAAGGTTTCTCTCTTCTCTCCTCTCAAGAAGCTCGGCCAAGAAGGAAGAAAATGGAGATGATTTTGGGTCAAAATTGAGGTTTAGGAAAGTAAGATACCATTGATCAAAGTCCAATTTCCACTAGTTTCGCGACACGTGGCACCTTTTATGTTTAAACCTATTTTCTTGGCTCTCCATGGTTAATCCATCTATGTTACCTCTAATTATCTCATAACACCTAATAACTTAATCCCTTTATGCAAAACTTAATCTAATTGGCCGAATTTATCGCACTTAATGCATTAGCGAGTCCCATGTCCAGTATTCACTATTAATATCGCATGAACTAACTTATACTAGAAAAATGATTTTAAAAACTATATTCACTTATAAAATATCTAGAAAATTAATATAATAAAGAAAATATAGAAAATGTATGCAAAGAAATAAAATAATGCCTAGAAATTAAGAAAATTTTCGGGTTCTCACGATAGCTCCTGAGCTGAGATCCTCCTAGGCTCTGGTTCTGTGCTAACAATTGGTTTGCCTTTGAATGGAGTGTTTCTGAAGTTGTTGGGGGAATGCATTCTATATTATGCACTGTGGACTTGCTGCTGTGAGGAATTCCTGGAAATCCCAAATCTGCTCTCAGGAGCAGTTCTCCAAGTTTCCTTGGAGGATCTGGTATGAAACCTCAAAGCATTCTCCTGTAATATGGCCATTTCAAATGCTTCTGAAAATGTCGCAGGCCTCAGCATCCTTATCATTGTTTTAATTTCATCCTTGAGTCCACTGATGAAACTAGATACAAAATACTTCTCATCTAGGTATGGATTCTTAACCATCATGAGAGTTTTAAGCTCTTCAAACTTTTCTTGGTATTCTTCCACCTTTCTTGTCTGTTGCAGTTTGTTAAATTCCTCAACCACATCCTTTCCACTCCTATTATCAAATCTTTTGTATAGTAGTTCTTCAAACATTGTCCATGTTATTCCTGGTCTTTCTAACTTGACTCCCTGGAACCAGTTGTCAGCCCTTCCTTCTAGGTAGGGCTGTAATCGAGTCGAGTCAAACTCGAGTATCGCCATACTCAAGCTCGACTCGACATACAAGAAAGGTGCTCGAGCTCGAGTGAGTAGTATTATTGGAGCTCGAGCTCAAACTCGAAGCTTGCTTGCAATACTTGAGCTCGACTCGCATGGGCTCAAGTCAATCGAGCCTTATCGAGCTCGGTCGAGTTCGAGTTACTAAATTTTATTTTCTTGATAATTTTTGTGCGAAAAGACATTGTTGCCCTTTTAAAATTTTATACGATTTGAAACATTTCGTAAATTCAACAACTCTTTTGGGTATAAGAATAATTTTATAATAATAATATATTAAATAATTAAAATTAAAAGGCTCGATAAGTCTCGACGAACCTTCGAGCATCGCTTTTGGATGATCGAACTCGACTCGTTTAGCTTATTGAGCAGCTCGAACTCGACTCGAACTCTGTCAACCCGAGATTGAGTCAAGCTTTTGACCGAGCTCGCGAGCAGCTCGGCTTGATTACATCCTTACTTCCAGGTACATTTCTATGACTTCTACTTTATGATCTTCCGAAATTTGGTAATTCAAGCAGTATTTATTACACTTCCGTATCCATTCCCTTGGATTATCCCCCGCAAATAAAAGCAGATCAATTTTTGGAGGATTCAGTATCAGAATTTTACCTGCTTCTCTTCTTGTTGTCCTGTTGTTTTCTAATCCAATCTGCAGCCTCTGACTTAGTGGTGGTGTTGGCAGCAATGATATTTGTTCTGTTCTTGGTCTATCTTCATCTGGAACCACCTTTTCCTTATTCATCATTGCCTTCATGAAAGTACTAAATTCTTGCTTCATCTCAGCTATCAGTCCTTCCATCTTCTTGTTGTTCTCTGCAAGTTCAGTACGAAGCTCATTCCTCATCTGCTGCTGCTGCAACTGAGAACCTTGCAATCATTCCATGACTTCTTGGAGCCTAAGTTCCAGTTTCTTGATTTGCTCCTCTAGAGTCTTGAATCTGGTGCTTTCGGCCATGGAGTCACCTCGTTTGAAGGAATGTTGAAAATGGTAGTAACCTGCAACTACTGGTTCAAAAGCTCCGTCCAAGGATCGGAGCTCTGATACCAATTTGTCAGGATCCTGACCTAAATCTTAGAGAATTGATGAGAGAGAAGGGAAATCAGAGTTTGGGAAAGAATCATCAGGCGAGAGAGAGAGAAGATTGAGAGGGAAAATTTGGGGAAAGAGAGAGAGAAACAAATTCTGTTATTCCAAGTCATAACCAACTCCACCAATTACATCAGTACAAATAGGCAAGGATAACTGACTAACTAATTTCTTATTCTGTTAGCTAAACGACGCCGTCCTATTTAAGCTGTAATTCGTCTGATTCTTAACCTTACGATGCCATCTTACTTATGCGTTGATTTCTTGCCCTTAATCATACAATTTTTCATAAACGACATCGTATCAAAGCTAATTCCTGACATGTTCCTGAGTCCGCACCAATGTTGGCAAGGCGGTCAACCGCAACTTGGAACTTTTGTACATAACTAAACATCGGTCCACGTCTTTTTTTGTGGCCTAGAAAATCTTATAGTATGTGGGGTAAATAATGGTGATAATAAAAAAATAGTGATAACGTCCTTAATTAATCAGTAATAGAATCTCAAAAATTTGAATTTTTTAACTATAAATGCCACTAAGAATTAGTTGCACTAATTCAGGAAATATGCTTTTCATGATGTTTCCTAATGTCTCAGTGAGATACTTGCTAGGATCATATCTCTGCCTTAAATTATATGTAATAGCTTGGAATATCACCACTACAATGATCACAAATTATAGTAGCATCCTTTGAGTTGAAAAGGTATGTAGAGATAAAAGACAAGACAAACCTGAAGTTAGGATTAGACCAAACTATTGAACTACCTAAGTATATCAACCTTTTTTGTTAAAAAAATTATCAATAATATTAAACAAAAAATGTAAGAGAATGAGAGAAAAAAAATGTCGTAAAATAAGTAGTAGAACCATTAGAAGTTTACTCAAAAGACACGAAATGAATACAGTTATTTTATGGAACCGGCGTTTTGCAATAAAAATCGTTACAAACATGTACGGCATGGTAGGTAAAACAACACGAACCCCACAAATAGGGAATTAATTAATTCACAAAAATCAATTTACAAAATAGAACGGAAACATTAAAAAACTTGAGAACATCCTCGCATTGGGCTTTTATTCTTAATCTTCCATGAACCGCTCAAACACTGATTCTCTTCCCAATTTGCCTGCAAAATTTTAGTTGGCTAACAGCAATGCGCGTTTCCAAGTTGATAAGCATGTTAAACAAACACAAGTTTTTGGAAACAGAGGGAAAACTAATGTTCCTTGGTTCTTAGGATAACCTTCTACTAGTCATTTTCATGGATCTAAGCGTATGTACTTAGCATGATACACATGGCAGTTTGTGTTGATAGGGATAAGGTTTATCATACAAAAGTTTATACTGGTTACGCGTTATTACCTCAAAACTTGGATGCAATTCCTTAGTAATGTGAAGGAGAAGGAGGAGTATTATAGTAGTAATGGTTGGATGAAGGTGGAGACTTGTATAATGGTTGGATGAAGGTGGGGAACTGTAAACTGGAGAAGGCGGTGGGGAATTGCAAACTGGAGGAGGTGGAAATTTGTAAATAGGCGGTGGTGGAGAGTTGTACATTGGAGGAGATAGTGGTGGTGACTTATATACTGGAGGAAGCGGTGGATGAGACTTGTGCTCGTAAACTGGTGGACAAGGAGACTCATAAATTGGAGGAGGCGGTGGAGATGACTTGTATATCGGAGGAGTTGGTGGGGGAGACTTGTATTTGTAAATAGGTGGTGGTAGGGACTTGTAAATTGGAGGCGGGAGTGGTGGTGAATTGTACTTGTAGATTGGTGGCGGCAGAGACTTGTACAGTGGAGGCGGTGGTAGGGATGACTTATATACTGGGGGAGATAGCAGCGAAGACTTGTAAACAGGTGGTGGAGGGGACTTGTACACTGGGAAGATGGTGGTGGTGATTTGTAAACTAGTGATGGTGGAGGTGAAAGCGCTGCAGGTGGTGGTGACAAATAATGATAAGGTGGTGGAGGTGACTTATAAACAGGTGGTGGTGGAGGTGAATGCACTGGAGGTGGCAGTGAGGAATAGTGGTAAGGTGGTGGGGGTGACTTGTAAACTGGTGGTGGTGAGGGCGAATGCACTGGAGGTGGTAAGAATATTTATGATGTTAAAGTTTACTTTTTTTTGTAATATTTTGGTTGCAAATTTCGGACTTGAGAAAGATTGTACTCCATACTTTTGTATAGATTGTGTGTCTGTTTTCTTGAGAAACTCTTCTTTACATGCTGCAAAATTTTATTGGTACGGAAGAAGTGATAGCTGAAAGTTTTTAAAAGTTGCATGCAGTGACCAAAACTGGTCAAGCATGCACACTTTGCTTATGGTTAGAATTCTCAGTCCTGCAGTTGCTTTTGCAATTTTACTGGTAAATTCATAACTCTCATTAGAATCTGGAAAATAGATTTTCATCCAATTAGCAAGTTGTGATTGGTCATTGAACAGCTTATAGGACTATTTCTCCTATAAGTTGTTCAATGACCACCATAAAGCTTGCCATTCTATTATACACTAATGTATAAGTAACAATTCAGGTTACATACTCTCGTGTATTAATATATATTCTTTTTAAGAGTTAAATCTAATTAAGGGTATTATCATGATAATTTAAAGAGTATAAGTATCAATCCATTAGAGGGTGCACACTAACGCATAACAAAAGACTCATTACCATTCAAAGATTGACCATGAAGTGTTTGTAAGTCATCAGATTAGTTATTGCAGCAGTGAATGTACAACTACTTGTACTTGATCTTGGGTAGTATTGTGCCTATCAACTTGTTTATAGAGTTTACCTAACTTTTTAGAATTCTGCGGGACAGTGCAGATGAAGAGGCCCTGTTTTAGGCGTGAATATTCTTTTTTCAAGAATTGACAAGTAGACTAGTTCGAGGAAAGATCATGAATTTCCACGTTTAAGGGGGCAATTTTCCATCTTGTGTTTTTGAAAAAATACTATCACATTGTATGGCAGATTTTTCCTATAGTACATCAACCATAGAAAGTCTTTGTCTACATGCAGATAGTGAAATAGTACTCTTGTATGAGATGAAACCAAAATTTAAGAGTAAAATATAGTAAATCCCCTTGTGGTTTGGGATTCGATCACGAAACTCCGTCATTATTTAAAAATCTCCACATTATTCCTTTGTGTTTTGGATTAAATTAGAATGTGGGTGGAAATCATCCAAATTAACGGAAAAATCCAAATGTCTATGCTACCCTCTTATTTCTTTCATTTCTTGTTTTATTTTATTTCCGGTTTTTTAAACCTGAGCATTTTTTGTTTACCAAAAGTTAACTGGGCAAAAATCAAAATTTTAAAATATTTTATGTATCTAAAGATAACATTATGGGTCAAAATAAAATTTATAAAAAAATTCTTTTCACGTATCAAACTCCATCTTCAGCTTATATTACAATTTCACTGTTGCATTTGGTAAGTACAATTAGAGAGTAGAAAAATTAACCATGAAAGTGACCGTTTTTCGGCCAAAATTTGTTGCTTTTCCGTCTGCTTCTATTCCTCAAATCTCTCCACCAGTCTCCGCTGCCTTTTTTGGGTCTATTAAGTATTATGTGTGAATTCATGCCCAATATGGTTTTGGGATTTCCTTTCACGTTCGAGTTTAGTCCAAAGTGGAAGGAGATTATGTGAGAGTTTTTAAATAATAGGAAGGTATCATAACCAAACCTCAACACACACTTGTTAGAATGGGTTTTCCTCGAACTGTAAATTTATTTGACAATCGCGATTCATTAGATAAGCATGCTAGTATCAGGATTAAGCTCTAAATTGTTAACTCTTAAACAATATAATATTAAGTTTTTGTATAAACTTTTCTACTCAGCAAACCGGTGACTATGAAATATTTGTATGAATGAATGCTTGATTTCGTAATGTTGTATTGCCTTTGAAAAAGAATTAGACCTGGCCTGACTTTCTTCTCTATTTATTTTTCCTATTAAGAAGAGGCGTGTAATAATTCTAAATTGTCATTGTCTCGTTGATATCAATCTTAGGGTAAAGTAGAATTACTCTTAGATCATTGCAGTTGAAACTAGTAAGGGAAAAATAATGGTGATAATGTCCTTCATAATTTACCAACAACACCGTCACAATTTGAGTTTTGTATCTCTAAATTCCACGAATAAATAGTTTCATGAAATCAAGATTTACACTTTTCACAATGTTAGTTTCCTTGACTGTCAATGAGATATTTATTAGTATCATGCTTCGGTCTTAAACAATGATCACAAACTATAGCATCCTTTGAGTTGAAAAGGGAAGTAGGTGAAAAATAAAAGTAATACAATTAGCATTAGACCAAATTACCTAAGCATTTGATACTTTTGATAAAAAAAAATGATCAACAATATTAAAGACAAAATATAAGAGAAAGAGAGAAAAGTGTCGTAATATAAATAGTATTCATTTATTATATGGACCTGCGGTTTGCCAACAGGACAGAAAGCCTTACAAGCATGTACTGCATGGCACGTAAAACGGTACAAACCCCATGAACATGGAACTCAGGAGCTAAAGTCAATTTAGATGTTGAAATGGTAACGTAGAAACTTGAAATCATCGTCGCATTGGGCTTTTATTCTTATTCTTCTGCATCTTCATGAAGGTCTCAAACACCGATTGCCTTCTCCTTTGCCTGCAAATATTCAGTTGGCTTTCAGCTATGTGCATTTCTAAGTTGATAAGCAAGTTAAAAAAGAAAAAAACACTCTTTAATCTGTATACTGATCAAATTCTTGAAAACAGACCGAAAAAATAATGTATTTCTTTGATTCTTAAAAAAAATCTTCTACTAGTCATTTTCATGGATCAAGTGTACGTCCTTAGCATGATATACATGACAGTTTGTGTTGATAAAGTTTTGGATAGGTATTATTACCTCAAAACTTAGATGCACTTGCTTAGTAGTGGTGAGGAGGAGGAGAACCGTAGTAGTGATGATAGGGTGGAGGTGGAGACTGGTAAACTGGGGGAGGAGGTGGTGGTGACTTGTATTTGTAAACTGGTGGTGGTGGAGATTGGTAAACTGGGGGAGGAGGTGGTGGTGAGTTGTACTTGTAAACTGGAGGTGGTGGGGACTTGTACACTGGAGGAGGTGGTGGAGGAGACTTGTACTCGTAAACAGGTGGCGGAGGAGACTTGTATACCGGAGGAGGTGGTGGGAGTGACTTGTACTTGTAAACTGGTGGCGGTGGAGATTTGTAAACTGGAGGAGGTGGTGGTGGTGACTTGTATTTGTACACTGGTGGAGGCGGGGAGTTGTATACCGGTGGGGGTAGTGGTGGTGACTTGTAAACTGGTGATGGTGGAGGTGAATACACCGGAGGTGGTGAGTAGTGGTAAGGTGGTGGTGAGGACTTGTAAACTGGAGGAGATGGTGGGGGTAACTTATAAACAGGGGTCGGTGGAGGTGAATACACTGGAGGTGGTGGTGAAGAATAGTGGTAAGGAGGAGGAGGAGGAGATGAATACTTGTAATAATCAGCCGCAGTTTCCAAGGGCAAGCCAAAGGCAACAAATACCACTAAAACAGTGGTAAGAAGAGGAGTCAGCCTAGACCCCGTTGCTTTTGCTTTGCTCCCCATTGTTACTACAAATTCTTGTTTTAGGCTGATATGCTTCTAGGTAGGCATGGCCACGGTTCCAGAACCAACGGTTCTGGTTCCAGAACCGCCGGTTCTGGTTCTTCAAAGAGATAGAACCAGAACCGCACCATATAAGATGGTTCTGGTTCTGGTTCCAGAACCGGCGGTTCTGGTTCTTCAAAAAGGTAGAACCAGAACCGCATAGTTCTGATTTCGATTCCTTATGGTTCTGGTTCTGGTTCTGGTTCCGGTTCCGGTTCCGTATGGTTATATACAATTTTATTTAATTTCTTATCCTTACCAATTTTAATACGAATATAACAATATATTTAAAATTTTAAATAAAATGTAAAAAATAAATACAAAATAAATATCATATTTTAATTTTATTATTATTCTACAAAGTACGAAATAATAAATAGATAATAGATGAAGAAATTGAGAGTAGTTTAGAGATGGAAGAGAGAAGATTGATTTTGGTGTAGTAGAAAATAAAATTTCAAGTCTTATTTATAGGACAAAATGAAATTAAAAATTTGGAACGTTGTATTGTAACGTTCCAAATTTGTAACGTTGTATTGAAAATTTGGACAAAATTACAACGTTGAATTGTAACGTTGTAAACTTGTAATTCACCCTAACCCCCAATTTGTCAAATTTAGCAGGCAGCCACCTTTCTTGTTTTTTTTCTATCCTTTGCTTTGTTTCTTTCTTCCGTTGAGAGCCTGAGGACCTTTGTGCAAGTCAGGAGGAGCCCCCGAGAGCAAAAATTGAGAGCAAAAATTGTGGTGGCATCATGATGACCTTGGTCATCATGATGCCTCTACTTTTATTATTTTTTATATTAATTATTTTTAAATTTTTTAACGGTTCTGGAACCGGCGGTTCTGGTTCTGGTTCTATTTTTTAGAGAACCAGAACCGGAACCTTTATCCAAGGTTCTACTACGGTTCTGGTTCCACGGTTCTGGTTCCGGTTCTGGTCCGGTTCCAAACGGTTCGGTTCCGGTCCGGTTCCCGGTTCCAAGTGGAACCATGGCCATGCCTACTTCTAGGCAGCCTCTAGCCCCCTTTTTATAGCACTCAGTGGCTTCATTTTTTACTCCCAAGACTTGGAAGATATAAACATGGAAAATCTCTTTTAACAGCTCTCGACAACTTTAGAAAAGTTAAAAATCGTGTGCGCGTTGGAATCATGGAATGGGTTTGTCCTCAAATTGTACTTTGATAGATTTGACAATCGTGAATATTCATTATTCAATTGTGTTAGGTTGAGAATTATGCTCTTAATTTTTTAATCTCAAGCTATATAATAACAAGTTTTGGTATTATTTTGCAGCTTAGGGTGTGTTTCGTAAAACTGAAATCTGAAATCTAAAATTTGAATCCATTAAATTATTGAATTGTTAAATATTAATCTAATACATTTAAGTGCATATCACATTCAGTGATAAGTGTATAGCTTATCACTTAATTTTGGGAGTAAATTTTACCTAGAAAATTCAGTGTCATTTAATTAATTTAGATGTTCAATTTTTGGTTATCAAACGATTTGAATGTGTTAAGATTTGAATCCATTAAATTTAAATATGGAATTGGATTATCAAGCAAGGCCTTAGGCATGCAATGACTTTGAAATATTGTGTGAATGCTCGATGGCGTAATGTTGTATTATCTATGAATAAAAGACCATATACGGACCCGCTTTCCTCACTATTTCTTTTACCTATCAAGAAGGACGGTGTAATAATACAAAATGGTCGTTGTCTCATTATTAACAGTCAATCTTTGAGTAAAGTAGAATTCGTCATAAGAATTTCTGATATCAAATGCGAGTCGGTGAATTGATTTTTAGGGTAAAGACCCTGTAAAGGCTTTTGGAGGTAATAAAACATAAAAGGTGCATTTGTAAATAAATGAGTCGGAAGATTATTATCTAGAGGAAACGAATTGATATGTGCAGGAAGAGATGTGAAGAGACTATAGGTCTCCTGCAATACACTAATATAACATTCACGTTACACACTTTTATGTATTGATATGTGTTCTTTTTATCAGTTAAATTTAATTAAGAGTATTATTATGATAATTTAAAGAACATAGATATCAATCTATTATGTAACGTGAAAATTACATTTAGTGTTGTAAGTCATCAAATTAGTTGTTGCAGCAGCGAATTTTGAAATGTGCAACTGCTTGTTCCTGATCTTGGGTCTGATTATACCTGTCAACTTGTCTAGTTTTGCCTAACTTTATAGAATTCTGCGGGACAGTGTAGATGAACAGGCTATGCTTAGGAGCGAGTATTCTTTTTTAAAGAATTGAAAAGTAGACTAGTTTGAGGAAAGATCATGATTTTTTCCGTTCAAGGGGGCAATTTTCCATCTTGTCTTTTTGAAAAAATGGTATCACATTGTATAGGCAAAATTTCCTTATAGTACATCAACCGTGGAAAGTTTATGTCTACAGATGATGAAAAACAGAGAAAATTCTATGAAAAACAGGATTCTTTAAGTTGTATCTCTCAATAAAGATAAATAGTTTAAATTTTCAATATTTAACAATATTTAATCTTACAGTCATTAACACTTCTTTCACTATCCAATGACAAATATCAATTGTAGGTATGATATCATCACCACAATGATCACAAACTATAGTATACTTTGAGATGTAAAGGGAATAAAAGAAAGACAAACATGAATTTAGCGTTAGACCAAACTACCTATGTATAATAGTATAATTTTAAGAAAAAGGCCCATTATTAATATTGACTCAATAATATTAAAGGCAAAATATAAGGGAAAGAGAGAAAAAATGTCGTACCATGCATAAATAGTAGAGCCAATAGAAGTGAAATGAATTTATTAATTGTATGGAACCGACTTTTGCCAATAGGATAGAAATCCTTACAAACATGTACGGCATGGTACGTAAAACAATACGTACCCCACAAACAGGGAATTAATTGAGTCGAAAAATTCAATTTACAAATTAAAATGGAAACATAGAAAAACTTGAAAACATCCTCGCATTGGGCTTTTATTCTTATTCTTCAACATCTTCATGAAGCTCTCAAACACAGATTCTCTTCCCCTTTACCTGCAAAAATTTCAGTGGGTTATGGGTATTGTGCATTTTCAAGTAGATAAGCATGTTAAACAATTCATTAATTTATTTAATACACAAGTTTTGGAAACAGAGGGAATACTAATGCTGTTCCTTGGTTCTTAAGAAAACCTTCTACTAGTCATTTTCATGGATCTAAGTGTACGTATTTGGCATGATGCACATGGCAGTTTGCCTTGATAGAGATAAAGTTTATCATGCGAAAGTTAATATATTGGTTTAGCATTATTACCTCAAAAACTTGGATACAATTGCTTAGTAGTGATTAGGAGGAGGAGGAGGAGAATTGTAGTAGTAATGGTAGGGTGGAGGTGGAGACTTGTAGATTGGTGGTGGTGGGGAATTGTAAACTGGAGGAGGTGGTGGAGGAGACTTGTATTTATAAATTGGTGGTGGTGGAGATTTGTAAACTGGAGGAGGTGGTGGAGGTGATTTGTATACTGGAGGAGGTGGTGGTGGTGACTTGTAAATTGGGGAAGGAGGTGGTGGTGACTTATACTTGTAGACTGGAGGTGGCGGAGACTTGTACACTGGTGGAGGTGGTGGTGGTGACTTATATACTGGGGGAGGCGGTGGGGGAGACTTATAAATTGGTGGTGGTGGGGGTGAATGCACTGGAGGTGGTGGTGAGGAATAATGATGAGGTGGTGGAGGGGACTTATAAACAGGAGGAGGTGGTGGCGGTGACTTGTAAACTGGTGGTGGCGGGGGTGAATGCCCTGGAGGTGGTGGTGAGGAATAATGGTAAGGTGGTGGCGGAGACTTGTAAACTGGTGGTGGTGGGGGTGAATGCACTGGAGGTGGTGGTGAGGAATAATGGTAAGGTGGTGGCGGGGACTTGTAAACTGGAGGAGGTGGTGGAGGTGACTTGTAAACCGGTGGTGGTGGAGGTGAATGCGTCGGAGGTGGTGGTGAGGAATAATGGTAAGGTGGTGGCGGAGACTTGTAAACTGGTGGTGGTGGGGGTGAATGCACTGGAGGTGGTGGTGAGGAATAATGGTAAGGTGGTGGTGGAGACTTGTAAACTGGAGGAGGAGGTGGTGGAGGTGACTTGTAAATTGGTGGTAGAGGTGCATGCACAGGAGGTGGTGGTGAGGAATAATGGTAAGGTGGTGGCGGAGACTTAAAAACTGGTGGTGGTGGGGGTGAATGCACTGGAGGTGGTGGTGAGGAATAATGGTAAGGTGGTGGCGGGGACTTGTAAACTGGAGGAGGTGGTGGAGGTGACTTGTAAACCGGTGGTGGTGGAGGTGAATGCGTCGGAGGTGGTGGTGAGGAATAATGGTAAGGTGGTGGCGGAGACTTGTAAACTGGTGGTGGTGGGGGTGAATGCACTGGAGGTGGTGGTGAGGAATAATGGTAAGGTGGTGGTGGAGACTTGTAAACTGGAGGAGGAGGTGGTGGAGGTGACTTGTAAATTGGTGGTAGAGGTGCATGCACAGGAGGTGGTGGTGAGGAATAATGGTAAGGTGGTGGCGGAGACTTAAAAACTGGTGGTGGTGGGGGTGAATGCACTGGAGGTGGTGGTGAGGAATAATGGTAAGGTGGTGGTGGAGACTTGTAAACTGGAGGAGGTGGTGGAGGTGACTTGTAAATTGGTGGTGGAGGTGCTTGCACAGGAGGTGGTGGTGAGGAATAATGGTAAGGTGGTGGCGGAGACTTGTCAACTGGAGGAAGTGGTGGAGGTGAATGCACTGGAGGTGGTGGTGAGGAATAATGGTAAGGTGGTGGCGGGGACTTGTAAATTGGAGGAGGTGGTGGAGGTGCATGCACTAGAGGTGGTGGTGAGGAATAATGGTAAGGAGGAGGAGGAGGTGAATAGTCGTCGTAATCAGCTGCAGTTTCTGAAGGCAAGCCAAGAGCAACAAATACCACTAAAACGGTGGTAAAAAGAGGAGTCAGCCTTGACCCAATTGCTTTTGCTTTGCTCCCCATTGCTACAAAATGTGGTCTGAGGCTGATATGCTTCTAGGCAACATCTAGCCCCCTTTTTATAGCCCTCAAAGGCCTTCATTTTTTACTCTCGAGGCCTAGAAGATGTAAGCCTAGTAAAATCTCGTCACCTTCTCTAATTAACTTTTCAAAGGCTAAACATCTTGTACACGTTGGAATGGGTTGTCCTGAAACTGTACTTTGATAACTTTATCAATCGTGAACATTCATAGTAAATCCCCTTGTGGTTTGGGATTCAATCACGAAACTCCGTCATTATTTAAAAATCTCCATATAATTCCTTTGTGTTTTGGATTAAATTAGAATGTGGATGGAAATCATCCAAATTAACGGAAAAATCCAAAATGTCTATGCTACCCTCTTATTTCTTTCATTTCTTGTTTTATTTTATTTCCGGTTTTTTAAACATGAGCATTTTTTGTTTACCAAAAGTTAACTGGGCAAAAATCAAAATTTTAAAATATTTTATGTATCTAAAGATAACATTATGGGTCAAAATAAAATTTATAAAAAAATTCTTTTCACGTATCAAACTCCATCTTCAGCTTATATTACAATTTCACTGTTGCATTTGGTAAGTACAATTAGAGAGTAGAAAAATTAACCATGAAAGTGACCGTTTTTCGGCCAAAATTTGTTGCTTTTCCGTCTGCGTCTATTCCTCAAATCTCTCCACCAGTCTCCGCTGCCTTTTTTTGGGTCTATTATGTGTGAATTCATGCCCAATATGGTTTTGGGATTTCCTTTCACGTTCGAGTTTAGTCCAAAGTACAAGGAGATTATGTGAGAGATTTTAAATAATAGGAAGGTATCGTAACCAAACCTCAACACAAACGTTTTTGACTTGTACACGTTAGAATGGGTTTTCCTCAAACTGTAAATTTATTTGACAATCGCGATTCATTAGGTAATTATGCTAGTATCAGGATTAAGCTCTAAATTGTTAACTCTTAAACAATATAATATTAAGTTTTTGTATAAACTTTTCTACTCCGCAAATCGGTGACTAGGAAATATTTGTATGAATGAATGCTTGATTTCGTAATGTTGTATTGCCTTTGAAAAGAAATTAGACCAGGCCTGTACTTTCTTCTCTATTTCTTTTTCCTATTAGGAACAGGCGTGTAATAATTCTAAATTGTCATTGTCTAGTTGATATCAATCTTAGGGTAAAGTAGAATTACTCTTAGATTTTCTGACGTCAATTGAGAGTCGGTGAATAGTCTTCTAGGGTAAAGATCATGTCGACGCTATTGGAGGTGATGAAAGGTGCATTTTGTGAAGAAATTAGAAGGGAGATTATTACCTAGAGAAAAATGGTGGATTAGGAAGCGAGATTGGGGTTCATACAATTGCAGGTTAGATTGTATGGTGCAGTTAATTGACGGAACGATTGAGGAACTGGTAATTGGAACTATACCATACAATTGGAACTGGTAATTGTAGAAGCCCCTGATTGAGGAAAGGGATATGTGGTGAATTTTGACCATGTAGCAAGCCATCGAATTAGTTATTGAATAGGTGAATTTTGAAATGTAAAATTGCTGGCTTTTGCCTGATTTTTAGTATAATTACGGCTATCAACTTGTCTATAATGCTACCTAACTTTCTACAATTTGAGGGAATGCTAATTGTATTTTATACTTCTCTTTTTCACTACTTCCCTTTTCAACTCAAAGGATGCTATCGTTTGTGATCATTGTTTAAGACCGAAGCATGGTACTAATAAATATCTCATTGAAAGTCAAGGAAACTTAACATTATGAAAAGTGTAAATCTTGATTTGATGAAGCTATTTATTCGTGGAATTTATAGATACAAAGCTCAAATTCTGATGGTGCTGTTGTTAAATTATTAAGTACATTATCACCATTATTTATTCCTTACTAGTTTCACACTTTTTATCAGTTAAATTTAATTAAGAGTATTATTATGATAATTTAAAGAACATAGATATCAATCTATTATGTAACGTGAAAATTACATTTAGTGTTGTAAGTCATCAAATTAGTTGTTGCAGCAGCGAATTTTGAAATGTGCAACTGCTTGTTCCTGATCTTGGGTCTGATTATACCTGTCAACTTGTCTAGTTTTGCCTAACTTTATAGAATTCTTCGGGACAGTGTAGATGAACAGGCTATGCTTAGGAGCGAGTATTCTTTTTTAAAGAATTGACAAGTAGACTAGTTTGAGGAAAGATCATGATTTTTTCCGTTCAAGGGGGCAATTTTCCATCTTGTCGATCTTTTTGAAAAAATGCTATCACATTGTATAGGCAAAATTTCCTTATAGTACATCAACCGTGGAAAGTTTATGTCTACAGATGATGAAAAACAGAGAAAATTCTATGAAAAACAGGATTCTTTAAGTTGTATCTCTCAATAAAGATAAATAGTTTAAATTTTCAATATTTAACAATATTTAATCTTACAGTCATTAACACTTCTTTCACTATCCAATGACAAATATCAATTGTAGGTATGATACCCTAAAGAAACTATAAAATCTCCCATGAAGTAGTACTATTATATGTTATGAAATGAAAACAAAATTTATTGCTTAAATTGGATGTCAAAAAATCATTTGACGATTTCTATTGGCTCTAGTTGTGAAGTTATACCTTAATGTCGAAGCCTGTATGATGTACTGATTGAGCAGCCAATTTCTTGAGTTCGTATTTTTGAAGTCACGAGAATAAAGAAAAAAAATTAAGGAAGAAAAAAAGAACAGACGTGATTACAACAATTTTTTGATACCATCTATTTGTAATATAAACATCTGCACCCAGCTTAAGGCAAGGAAATTAGGCATATAACTGTGCCTAGTGTAGTTTCACCAACAAAGGAAGTCTTCCTAATAGAGACCTTGAAAGTATTAATTTCATCATGGTCTTTAAAATACTACTTCTTTGACTGATTTGTACGAATAAATTTAATTTGTTCTTTTAAATTTTGCTAATTTTTTATAATTTTTTTTCACAATAGTGGGATCAATACAAGGTGGTTACTACCAATCAATATTACATATAATTTTCTATGTGCCTTTATCTCCATTTTCTCTAGCTAGTGTGAATTAGATTGGCCGAAGTAGCCGAATTGATGACAACTCAAGTCAATGGACATGTTAGTATTCAAGATTCCTTTATTTTCTGGGTGATAATATATTTATAAGCTTAACAGGAGGAAAAATTGGAACTATATACCCATAAAAAAATAATAAATTTGGCAGGGTAATTATACTCCCGAAGGTTAAATTTTGACCCCAAGGCAACCAGTCTTTAGGGCAAAAGTGTATTTAGATGTTCCTTCATATTATTAGCTTTGTTTGAAGAGGTTCACATGGGGAAGTTGCCCTGTAAGCAATGATTGAAAATGTATTTTTTTTTTAATTCTTTATTTTTCAGATCAATGATTGGATATGTTAGAAAAGCATGAATAAATTTTTATTTTCTTATTGAGAAGATAAAAAAGATGATTGAAAATGTGTTCTTGATACAAAGTGATTGTATCCAATAAGAAAATTTTGAATCATGTAAAAAATCAAAATGCTTAAAAAAAAACTATGGCAATTTCCCAAATTAATGAAGAGGATGCATTTTAGTACTTGCATCTTAAACAAGGACTTGGTATGCTGAACGAATTGCCTATGTTCCTTCATTCACTCGATGTGCAAAAAATCTTAGTGCCCGAGGGATTTAAAACCACCGGAAAAGTTTATAACTAATTTTTGCTGATGTTGTAATCAGTAAGGGATATGTCACTAATTTTTCCCTTTCGTAGTCTAAAGAAATCGACATCATGGAGAAAAGTATTGAGATCATTTATAGTTTAAACTAGTAAGCGATAAGTTATAGCAATAAAGTCCTTAATTAATTAGTAATAGCGTTGTCAAAATTTTTTTTTGAGTTTTATAAATATAAATTCCACTAACAAATTGTGCATTAACCAAGACTCACACTTGTCATGATTTTTCCTTATGTTTCAATGAGATAGTTGTTAATATCATGTCTCTGCCTTAAACTATAAGTACCAGCTGGTAATATCATCACCACAATGATCACAAACTATAGTATACTTTGAGATGTAAAGGGAATAAAAGAAAGACAAACATGAATTTAGCGTTAGACCAAACTACCTATGTATAATAGTATAATTTTAAGAAAAAGGCCCATTATTAATATTGACTCAATAATATTAAAGGCAAAATATAAGGGAAAGAGAGAAAAAATGTCGTACCATGCATAAATAGTAGAGCCAATAGAAGTGAAATGAATTTATTAATTGTATGGAACCGACTTTTGCCAATAGGATAGAAATCCTTACAAACATGTACGGCATGGTACGTAAAACAATACGTACCCCACAAACAGGGAATTAATTGAGTCGAAAAATTCAATTTACAAATTAAAGTGGAAACATAGAAAAACTTGAAAACATCCTCGCATTGGGCTTTTATTCTTATTCTTCAACATCTTTATGAAGCTCTCAAACACAGATTCTCTTCCCCTTTACCTGCAAAAATTTCAGTGGGTTATGGGTATTGTGCATTTTCAAGTAGATAAGCATGTTAAACAATTCATTAATCTATTTAATACACAAGTTTTGGAAACGGAGGGAATACTAATGCTGTTCCTTGGTTCTTAAGAAAACCTTCTACTAGTCATTTTCATGGATCTAAGTGTACGTATTTGGCATGATGCACATGGCAGTTTGTCTTGATAGAGATAAAGTTTATCATGCGAAAGTTAATATATTGGTTTAGCATTATTACCTCAAAAACTTGGATACAATTGCTTAGTAGTGATGAGGAGGAGGAGGAGGAGAATTGTAGTGGTAATGGTAGGGTGGAGGTGGAGACTTGTAGATTGGTGGTGGTGGGGAATTGTAAACTGGAGGAGGTGGTGGAGGAGACTTGTATTTATAAATTGGTGGTGGTGGAGATTTGTAAACTGGAGGAGGTGGTGGAGGTGATTTGTATACTGGAGGAGGTGGTGGTGGTGACTTATATACTGGGGGAGGCGGTGGGGGAGACTTATAAATTGGTGGTGGTGGGGGTGAATGCACTGGAGGTGGTGGTGAGGAATAATGATGAGGTAGTGGAGGGGACTTATAAACAGGAGGAGGTGGTGGCGGTGACTTGTAAACTGGTGGTGGCGGGGGTGAATGCCCTGGAGGTGGTGGTGAGGAATAATGGTAAGGTGGTGGCGGAGACTTGTAAACTGGTGGTGGTGGGGGTGAATGCACTGGAGGTGGTGGTGAGGAATAATGGTAAGGTGGTGGCGGGGACTTGTAAACTGGAGGAGGTGGTGGAGGTGACTTGTAAACCGGTGGTGGTGGAGGTGAATGCGTCGGAGGTGGTGGTGAGGAATAATGGTAAGGTGGTGGCGGAGACTTGTAAACTGGTGGTGGTGGGGGTGAATGCACTGGAGGTGGTGGTGAGGAATAATGGTAAGGTGGTGGTGGAGACTTGTAAACTGGAGGAGGAGGTGGTGGAGGTGACTTGTAAATTGGTGGTAGAGGTGCATGCACAGGAGGTGGTGGTGAGGAATAATGGTAAGGTGGTGGCGGAGACTTAAAAACTGGTGGTGGTGGGGGTGAATGCACTGGAGGTGGTGGTGAGGAATAATGGTAAGGTGGTGGCGGGGACTTGTAAACTGGAGGAGGTGGTGGAGGTGACTTGTAAACCGGTGGTGGTGGAGGTGAATGCGTCGGAGGTGGTGGTGAGGAATAATGGTAAGGTGGTGGCGGAGACTTGTAAACTGGTGGTGGTGGGGGTGAATGCACTGGAGGTGGTGGTGAGGAATAATGGTAAGGTGGTGGTGGAGACTTGTAAACTGGAGGAGGTGGTGGCGGAGACTTGTAAACTGGTGGTGGTGGGGGTGAATGCACTGGAGGTGGTGGTGAGGAATAATGGTAAGGTGGTGGTGGGGACTTGTAGACTGGAGGAGGTGGTGGAGGTGACTTGTAAATCGGTGGTGGTGGAGGTGAATGCACTGGAGGTGGTGGTGAGGAATAATGGTAAGGTGGTGGGGGTGACTTATAAACTGGCGATGGTGGAGGTGAATGCACAAGAGGTGGTGGTGAGTAATAATGGTAAGGAGGAGGAGGAGGTGAATACTTGTCGTAATCAGCTGCAGTTTCTGAAGGCAAGCCAAGAGCAACAAATACCACTAAAACGGTGGTAAAAAGAGGAGTCAGCCTAGACCCCATTGCTTTTGCTTTGCTCCCCATTGCTACAAAATGTGGTATGAGGCTGATATGCTTCTAGGCAACATCTAGCCCCCTTTTTATAGCCCTCAGAGGCCTTCATTTTTTACTCTCGAGGCCTAGAAGATGTAAGCCTAGTAAAATCTCGTCACCTTCTCTAATTAACTTTTCAAAGGCTAAACATCTTGTACACGTTGGAATGGGTTGCCCTCAAACTGTACTTTGATAACTTTATCAATCGTGAACATTCATTATTTAATATTGCTAATTCGTGTACCGTGCTCTAATTGTTAAATCTTAAACAAAAATTTTAAGAACAATATATTATTCAGTGTTTGTATAAATTTTGCAACTTAGCATGCCGGTGACTTTGACATATTTGTGTGAATGCCGGTGATTTCATAATGTTGTTTTGCCTCCGAAACAGGCTTAGACCAGGCCCGACTTTCTTCTCTATTTCCTTTTCCCATCAAGAAGAGGTTGGTAATAATCCAAAGTTGTCATTGTCTCGTTGATATCAATAATTGAACTGTTATATCTATATTCTACTCTTCAACTCTATCTCTCTTCTTAGTTGACATCTAAACTCTAATTGAGACAAATCAATCCCTAAACTATATTTTGATTCTTTTTCATCCCTAAACTCTTAATTTTGACACTTTTATTTCTGTACCATGCCTTGATACATACTTTGGTCGCGAAACTTCTTTCTTTTCTCGAATTTTGCATTTGTTTTTGTTATGGTTGCTTCATACTTGTCTAGTCACGGGTATTGTATTAACCATTATACTTGAGTAAGAAGGGTTTCATAGTTTAAGGACTATAATGTCACAAATTACAGTTTAGAAATCGAGTTACAGTTGAAGGGTACAAAATGGCATGAACCCGAAGGAAACTAGAATTCCTCTTAGTATTTCTGACGTCAATTTGCCTGTCGGTGAATAGTTTTCTAGGGTAAAGATCATGTCCACACCTTTTGGTGGTGATTAAAGGTGCATTTGTAAAGAAATGAGTTGGGAGATTATATTACCTAGAGAAAAAAAATGTGCATCCAAAAAGGGCTATGTGCTGGCAGGAAGGGTCCAAACGTTGACCATGGAGTAGCCATCGAATTAGTTATCGCAGCAGTCAATTTTGAAATGTAATTAATATTGCCACCTTTTTTTTACCAAAGCCAGGATGACTTTTGCTCATTTTACAAACCTAAATCCCGAGAAAATCACAAAAATCGGCAACTCTTGAGGTTTCTCAGGAAACTTATAAACTAACCCAAACCCCCCTCCTAACACTCGATGTGGGATAACTACCTTAAACAGAGCAGCTGCTACTAAGACCTAAAGAGACCTCACTAACCCCGGACAGGTAGTTGTCTTTTTTACCAAAATCAGGGTGACTTTTGATCATTTTACAAACCTAAACCCCGAGAAAACCACAAAAGCCGGCAACTCTTGAGGTTCCTCAGAGACTTGTAAACTAACCCAAACCCCCCCCCCCCCCACAAACACTCGATGTGGGATGCCACCTACTTTCTAGAATTCTGCGGGACGCTGCAGATGAACAGGCTGTTGTTTGAGATGTGAGTATTCCTTTTTCCAAGAATTGTAAGTAGACTAGAATGAGGAAAAGATCACGAACTCCCCAGTACAAATGGGCAATTTTCCATCTTCTGCTTTTGGAAAAATGCTATCAAAATCGTTAGGCAGATTTTCTTATAATACATCAAGCCTAGAAAGTTGATCTATAGATATAATCAAAAGTACTCTTGTATTTTATGAAGGGATACCAAAATTAATGCTTAATTTGCCTGTCAAAATAGCTATTTGAGGATTTCTATTGAATCAAATTGCAAAGTTGTATCTTGCTGACGGAGCCCGCTGGCAATACCGTTAAAGGAGTCAATTCTTGACTTCGTAGTTTCATTTCATACGGGAGAAAGACAAAAATTTTGCGTTATTGTGATTTATTTTGCAGTTTATTTGTAGGATTGTTTAGCTTCTCTGAGGTATAGTGTCCTAGTTTTTTTTTTAATAAGGTGTAGAGTCCTAGAGTTGTTGTAGGATTTTGTTTTCCGTTTGTAAATGCTTACTGCCTATTTCATTTCTTATTAATAAAATTTGAATTTACAAAAAAATTCATAATTGTGTTAATTTTCTAATATATATTACTTCATAATTGTTATAATTTATGGTTAAACCCCCTATTATTAACAATATAATCTTAAGCAATCCAAAGAAATTAATGTGCATACTATATATTTAGTGTACCATATATTTGTAATACAAACGTCTGCAGGCAACTTAAGGCAAGGAAGTAAAATACCAAAAAAAAAAAAAAAAGACGTGCATACAACTATGCCAAGTGTATATTGACCGATGCAAATTTCCATAATAGAGACCTTGAGCTTGAAAGTATTAATTGCATCGTGGTGTTTATGCTACTTCTCTGACTAATTTGTACGAATGATTTTAACATATTATTTTAAAGATTACTAACTTTAACATACTTCTTTGACTGCTATTCATACCAATAAATTAATTTAACATGTTCTTTAAAAGATTATTAACTTGTGACCTGATAGCATGTAAAGATGCTCAACCACTAATTTGTTAGGTGGGAATAAAAATGATAATGACTCTGCACTTGCTCAGAAAAGTGATATGTATTCATATTTGGCAGAGAATTAGCAGACAATATATAAGATGCCGTATTCGCAAGTTGGAAAATGGAAACAAAAAGATTAGTCAATTCGGATTTATAGAATGTGTTAACAGCTGGATGGATGAAATCTACACCGAAAAAAGGGAATTTTATTTGATAATTGAAAATATTAATTTTCCATGCACCACTTGGAGCAAAGAAATCTACAAAGTATTTTCGTTAGGAAGTCTCTTTATAGAGAAAAGCATCTTAGCAATGAATAGAACAAAAGGTTTTCATGATTCCCCATTTTCTGAGTACTTTTATTACCATTTTTTCTAGCTAGTGTGAATTGAAAAGGCCTCATGGAATCGAAGTAGCCAAACTGATGACAGCTCAAGTCAATGGATATATTAACTATTAAAGGCACTTTTATTATCTTAATAATTATATAAGCTTGACAGAGGGGGCAAAACTGGAGCTATATACCCAAAAAGAAAAAAAAAAAAAAAAAAGCAACAAAAAAGTTGCCTGGGTAACTAAGGTAAAATTTTGATTCTAGAGCAACCAGTTTTCACTCAGGGGTTAATTTGCCCGGTAAGCTATTAAATGATTGAAGATGTCTTTTTGCTTTTTTTTTTCCCTGATCAATGATTGCATATGTTGGAAAATAACTGGTTTTTTCTTTAGCTTGACCATAATTCTTTTAGCTAAAGTTCTTCATTTAAATGTTGTCAAATTAGGTTTACAGGAGTTGATCAGTCATTTCGTTTATGACAGTAGGGTCTTGAATTATTAACATAGAAGATCTACATTTTACATTCCAAGAAGGGGAATCTTGGGTGTTAAATCCCACAAATGTGAGGACTACAGTCTGACAGGTGTCGGACCTGTGCAATAATAAAAACCTGCTCAACTAAAGTTAATTTTTGTAAATAGTGGTAAGCAGGGTCGAATCCACAGGGACTGGGAGTAACTGTTTCTTTTCAAATCCACAGTAACAAAGAGGGTGTTTTTGTGCAGAAGATGACAATCAAAGAAATTCAAATAAAATCTAAAAAACTATTAAAAATTAAATAACAAGTTACTAAAATCAAATGAATGATAACTAAGGCTCTAGCCAAGAAATAACTTCAGCAATGGTGCACCTAATTGATTATCGAAGCAAAGCCAAATCCAATTATTTACTAATAAATAGGTTATAACTGCCAAACAAGCGATGACAGTCAACCCCTCCTTACTGTGTCGGTGATTAAGGTACGCCCATTAACCACTACTCTAATTGAGAAATAATCCTAGGTACGCCCGTAAGATTTAATTCCCCAATTGCCTTACGTATTAGAGGAGCCCTATTCTAACCAAATAACGCATTACCAAGGTTATTTTAGATTAGCCCGCGTATCCCTCCTGACACAAACCTAATCATGTCAGTTGTCACTAATTCAAGGTAATTAAACAATTACAGATTTAATGTCTTAATTGACAGTAGATTATCAAGTTAACTAATTATCCGGATCCAAGACAATCAATTAATTAAATAATCATAAATACTACAATCGAGGAATATGTGAATACCAATAAATAAAATGAAAAGATGAAATTAAATCGAACTCACAATTTTAGGCGATTCAAAGTATCCGTTGTTCCCTAATTAGAGTGCGGAAATTAGTTCATACTTGATGAGAAGAAACCATACAAAACTGGAGCAAGAGTCGCGACCATTGTCTCTGATTTTCGAGAGTTCAATTCGTTCAAATAATCAAAGGAAACGAAACCTGCATAGAATGGTTGAATCTTCCCATTGTTCCTGCCATGCGGGCATACAAAGCTACTAAGAGACGAAAAGGGAAAAGTCAAAGTTCTAAAACTCCTGACATGCGTGAATTGGGAACTACTCCAAAAACTCACAAAGGAAAAGTCAACAAAAGCTCCTAATTTCTCCTCACATCCGAGGGAGAATTATCACTACCAAAACTAAGAAGGAAAAGTCAAACATAGCAACTCCAAAGTAGGGCCTCTACTCTACTGTGCGGCGGCCTCCCTCCCGAGAGGAAGAAGGCTCCAGCCCTTCGTTCCTTTTCTTCTTTTATGCTGCCTTCCATAAATTACCAAAAAGGATCGCGTCTTGATATTTCAAAAATACCCCTAGACGCCTGTCACTTGGACTCCTTCCTGATGACTGTCAAATTGACTCTTGTTATGGTATTTTCGTTCTATTCCCTGTAATAAATGCCAATTCTTCAAAAGTGCGTAGAATCTAACAATTAATCCACATCAGGTCGGATAATAGGAGAAATTAATAATAAAATAGATGATAAAATTGCAACCTATCACAGTCTAACTAGCTATATGGATCGGTTCATAGATTAGGGACCATAGATAAAAAGGGAAAATTAATCTTGGGGGCAAAATTTAATATATCTAAGCTTAAGCTTGTAATGTAAAATCTTTTCAAATTTTTGTAGGACAAAAGCTTAAATTATGTAGAATATTTTTGAAAATTTTCAATAATCTAAGAGAGAAAAAAAACTAATTTTGTAAAATTTGGGAGGCAGTGATCTTGTTGTTATAGTTCCGTGTAATTCGGATCAATTGTTATATTTGCTACATTATTTGGTGTACAATTACATTATACTATATTATTATACTCAGCTATTGTATTCACGATAAAAGTGATGTATATAGACAAAATATTTCACACATATATTTAGTATAATATTATAGCACAATTGCACGTCAAAAGTTTAAACTTATACAACAACGGATCAAGAAAAAGTCCACCTCTTTCTCTGTGCCCTAGAAAATCTTATAGTATGTGGGGTAAATAATGGTGATAATAAGAAAAATAGTGATAACGCCCTTAATTAATCAGTAATAGAATCTCAAAATTTTGAATTTTGTAACTATAAATTCCACTAAGAAATAGTTGCACTAATTCAAGAAATACTCTTTTAATGATGTTTCCTAATGTCTCAGTGAGATACTCGTTAGGATCATATTTCTGCCTTAAATTATATGTAATAGTTCGGAATATCACCACTACTATGATCACAAATTATAGTAGCATCCTTTGAGTTGAAAAGGTATGTAGAGATAAAAGATAAAGGCAAACCTGAAGTTAGGATTAGACCAAACTAGTGAACTGCATAAGTATATCAACCTTTTTTGTTAAAAAACTTATCGATAATATTAAACCGAAAATGTAAGAGAAAGAGAGAAAAAAATGTCGTAAAATAAGTAGTAGAACCATTAGAAGTTTACTCAAAAGACACGAAATGAATACAGTTATTTTATTGAACCGGCGTTTTGCAATAAAAATCATTACAAACATGTACGGCATGGTACATAAAACAACACAAACCCCACAAACAGGGAATTAATTAAGTCGCAAAAATCAATTTACAAAATAGAACGGAAACATTAAAAAACTTGAGAACATCCTCGCATTGGGCTTTTATTCTTATTCTTCCACATCTTCATGAACCTCTCAAACACTGATTCTCTTCCCAATTTGCCTGCAAAAATTTCAGTTGGCTATCAACAATGCGCATTTCCAAGTTGATAAGCATGTTAAACAAACACAAGTTTTTGGAAACAGAGGGAAAACTAATGTTCCTTGGTTCTTAGGATAACCTTCTGCTAGTCATTTTCATGGATCTAAGTGCTGGTACTTAGCATGATACACATGGCATTTTGTGTTGAAAGGGATAAGATTTATCATGCAACAGCAAAAGTTTACAATGGTTACGTGTTATTACCTCAAAACTTGGATGCAATTCGTTAGTAGTGCGAAGGAGGAGGAGGAGTATAATAGTAGTAATGGTCGGATGGAGGTGGAGACTTGTATATTGGTGGTGGTGGGGAACTGTAAACCGGAGGAGGCGGAGATTTGTAAATAGGCAGTGGTGGAGACTTGTACACTGGAGGAGATAGTGGTGGTGACTTATATACTGGAGGAGGCGGTGGAGGAGACTCGTGCTCGTAAACAGGTGGTGGTAGGGACTTGTAAACTGGAGACGGGGGTGGTGGTGAATTGTACTTGTAGATTGGTGGTGGCGGAGACTTGTACACTGGAGGAGGTGGTGGGGATGACTTATATACCGGGGGAGATAGCGGTGGAGACTTGTAAACTGGTGGTGGAGGGGACTTGTACACTGGGAAAGATGGTGGTGGTGATTTGTAAACTGGTGATGGTAGAGGTGAAAGCACTGGAGGTGGTGGTGTCGAATAATGATAAGGTGGTAGAGGTGACTTATAAACAAGTGATGGTGGTGGAGGTGAATGCACCGGAGGTGGCGGTGAGGAATAGCGGTAAGGTGGTGGTGGGGACTTATAAATTGGAGCGGGTGGTGGAGGTGACTTGTAAATTGGTGATGAATACACTGGAGGTGGTGGTGAGGAATACTGGTAAGGTGGTGGCGGGGACCTGTAAACTGGTGGTGGCGGGGACTTGTAAACTGGAGGAGGTGGTGGAGGTGACTTATAAATTGGTGGTGGTGGAGGTGAGTGCACTGGAGGTGGTGGTGAGTAATAATGGTAAGGTGGTGGAGATGACTTATAAACAGATGGTGGTGAAGGTGAATGTACTGGAGGTGGTGGCGAGGAATAGTGGTAAGGTGGTGGTGGGGACTTGTATACTGGTGGAGGTGAATGCACTGGAGGTGGCGGTGAAGTGTAGTGGTAAGGTGGTGGGGGCGACTTGTAAACTGGTGGGGAAGGGAGTGAATGCACTGGAGGTGGTGGTGAGGAATAATGGTAAGGTGGTGGCGGGGACTTATAAACTGGAGGAGGTGACTTGTAAATCGGTGGTGGTGGAGGTGAATGCACTGGAGGTGGAGGTGAGGAATATTGGTAAGGTGGTGGCGGGGACTTGTAAATTGGAGGAGGTGGTAGAGGTGACTTGTAAATAGGTGGTGGTGGAGGTGAATGTACTGGAGGCGGTGGCAAGGAATAGTGGTAAGGTGGTGGTGGGGACTTGTAGACTGGTGGAGGTGGTGGAGGTGACTTATAAACAGTTGGTGGTGGAGGTGAATGCACTGGAGGCGGCGGTGAAGTGTAGTGGTAAGGTGGTGGGGGTGACTTGTAAATAGGTGGGGGTAGGGATGAATGCATTGGAGGTGGCGGTGAGGAATAATGGTAAGGTGGTGGCGGGGACTTGTAAACTGGAGGAGGTGGTGGAGGTGACTTATAAACCGGTGGTGGTGGAGGTGAGTGCGCTAGAGGAGGTGGTGAGGAATAATGGTAAGGTGGTGGAGGTGACTTAGAAACAGGTGGTGGTGATGAATAGTGGTAAGGTGGTGGTGGGGACTTGTATACTGGTGGAAGTGGTGGGGGTGACTGATAAATAGTTGGTGGTGGAGGTGAATGCACTGGAGGTGGTGGTGAACTATAGTGGTATAGTGGTGGGGGCGACTTGTAAACTGGTGGGGATGGGGGTGAATGCACTGGAGGTGGTGGTGAGGAATAATGGTAAGGTGGAGGCGAGGACTCGTAAACTGGGGGAGGTGGTGGAGGTGACTTGTAAACCGGTGGTGGTAGAGGTGAATATACTGGAGGTGGTGGTGAGGAGTAGTGGTAAGGTGGCGGGGGTGACTTGTAAACTGGAGGAGGTGGTGGAGGTGACTTGTATATCGGTGGTGGTGGTGGTGGTGGTGAATGCATTGGAGGCGGCGGTGATGTGTAGTGGTAAGGTGGTGGGGGTGACTTGTAAACAGGTGGGGGTGGGGGTGAATGCACTGGAGGTGGTGGTGAGGAATAATGGTAAGGTGGTGGCAGGGACTTATAAACTGGAGGAGGTGGTGGAGGTGACTTGTAAACCGGTGGCGGTGGAGGTGGTGGCGAGGAATAATGGTAAGGTGGTGGTGGGGACTTGTAAAATGGAGGTGGAGGTAACTTGTAAACCGGTGGTGGTGGAGAAGAATGCACTGGAGGTGGTGGTGATAAATAGTGGTATGGTGGTGGAGGAGGCGAATGCACTCGAGGTGGCGGTGAGGAGTTGTGGTAAGGTGGCGGGGGTGACTTGTAAACTGGAGGCGGTGGTGGAGGTGAATGCTCTGGAGGTGACGGTGAGAAATAGTGGTAAGGTGGTGGAGGTGACTTGTAAACAGGAGGTGGTGGTGAATACAGTAGAGGTGGTGGTGAGGAATAGTTGTGAGGAGGAGGAGATGAATACTTGTAATAGTCAGCTGCAGTCTCTGAAGGCAAGCCAAGAGCGACGAATACCACCAAAACGGTGGTAAGAAGAGGAGCCAGCCTAGACCGCATTGCTTTGCTCCCCATTGCAACAAAATCTGGTTTTAGGCGAATATGCTTCCAGGTAGCTTCTAGCCCTCTTTTTATAGCCCTCATATCTTCATTTTTAAGTCCTTGGACTTGCAATATGTGAGCATAGTAAGTCTCTTCAAATTCTTTAAACAACATTGGAAAAGTTAATTATCTTGTACACGTTGGAATGGGTTGTCGTCGAACTGTACTTTGATTTGGCAATCGTGAACATTCATTATTTAATTGTCGTTGTTTGAGGATTATGCTCTAAATTGTTAAATCCTGAACGGTATAATATTAAGCGTTTGCATAACTTTGCAACTTAGCATAGCGGTGACTTTGAAATTTTGTGTAAATGCTTGATTTAGCAATGCTTTTTTGTCTCCAAAAAAGTGTTAGACATTGTTTAACTATCTTTTGTCCATCCTTTTCTTGTCAAGAAGACATGTACATCATCAACACAAGTTGGTTGAATTGGTAAGTTCGGACTACTTTCTTACAAAACATTATGTGTTTGAATTTTGTTGTCGATATAAGAACTGTGTTGGTGAGTGATATATTAGAACACTTGTAAGTATTCTATGGTATCGGGAGTATATTTTGACTAGTGGTGATCATCAAAGCCTAATCTACCCAAACTTTTTCATGCCAAAAAAAAGGAGGTTATAATATAATAATTCAAAATCACCATTTTCTCATCATGGCCAATCTTGGAGTATAGTAGAATTCCTCTTAGAATTTCTGACGTCAATTGCGAGTCGGTGAATAGTTTTAAATGTTAAAGAAACATGTGGAGACTTTTAAAGGTGGGGTTAAATACAGGGTTTCTAAAGAAATGAGTTGGGAGATTCTTACCTAGATGAAAAAGCTACAATAAATAAAAAAATAGGGGTTTGTGCTGGAAGGGTACAAAATTTATAATGCAGTAAGGCATCGAGTTGGTTATTGAACAGCGAATTTTCCTAGCAAAATTGCTTGTGTCTGAGTTTCGGAATATATGTCTATCAATTTGACTGCAGGATAGTGCAAATGAAGAGGCTGTATATTTTAGAAATGAGTATTCTTTTTTTTTTTTCCAAGAATTGACAAGTAGACTAGAACGAGGAAAGATCATGAATTCCCTCGCACAAAGGGGCAGTCAATTTTCCATCTTCTGTCATTGAAAACTTGCCATCGAAATGTTTAGGTTGATTTCTCCTTATAGTAGACCAGAATGTGGAATGATCAAGAATTCCCTGGTATAGAGGGGCAACCAATTTTTCGTCTTCGGTTATTGAAAAATTGCTACTGAAATGTTTAACAATCCGTTTGGATTACCATTTTTTTAAATTTTTGTGGAAAAATAAATTGTATCAAATTGATGTATTGAGATAAAAAGGAGATTAAAAAATGTGTTCACAAAAAATGTAAAATTTTTGGGTGAAAAATTACAATCCATATAAGGCCAATTATTTAGATTTTTCTTATAATAAATCAAGCATAGAAAGTTAATGTCTACATATATTGAAACCGTAATCTTGAGAGGAATTCTTTTGACTCTAATTGCATAGTTGAACCTCGTAGAAGAAGCCTGTATGCCCCCACTACTTAAGGAGTCAATTTTTCAGAAGTTGATGCTTCTGAAGTCACTGGAACAAAGACAAAAATTTCGTAGTATTTTAGTAGCTTAATATAGTTTCAGAAGTTGTCTTAACTTACTGAAAATTTTTTATTAAAAAAAAAAAAGTTGCCGGCTTAAGGCTAATTTTCATCTGCCGTTAATAAAATATTATCTTTAGCACTCTGAAAAACATAGACGTGCGTACACGACACTAAATAATTAGTACACATGACCAAGGCAAGGAAGTTTCCATAATAGAGACCTTGAAAGTACTCATTAATAATACCATGGCGAATTTTGAATTTATTATGCTTCTTTTGACTAAATTGTACGAATAAATTTAACATTTCTTCAAAAGATTACTATAACTTGTGATCTGATAGCACATCTGATAGCATATTTGGTGGAGAATGTAATATTTAACTGACCTATACATAAGATGTCATATTCGCTAGTTGGATAATAAAAATGGAAAGATGTAGCTCATTTGGATTGATATTTTTTTGAGTTTTTTTTGGTAAAAAAATGTACTATAGTGATTTGATATATGTGAGGTAAAAAGTGATTAGAAAATATATTTACGAAAAATGTAAAAATTTTTGAACGAAAAAATGGCAATCCAAACGAGTTAAAATTCAGATTTATAGAATGTGTTGACAGCTGGAAGCATGAAACCAAGAATCTACAACGTGCGAGGAGTACGGATACTGCTCTATAAAAGGAAAATTATTAGGCTGATCATTGAAGATATATATTGTCAATTTTTCATGCACGATTTGGAGTAAAGAAATCTACCAAGTATTTTCGTGGGGGAGGTCTTTTTATAGACAAAATAATAGCATCGTAGCAATAAAAGACATTTTCTATGTACTTCTTTCACCATTTTCTCTTGCTAGTGTGAATTGGAATGGCCCTTATGGAATTGAAGGAGCCATTGATGACAGCTTAAGTCAATGAATGTATGATTCCGATGATTACGACCAGTTCATGACACTTGTATTATCTGGGAAATATATATATATATATATATATATATATATATATATATATATATATATTGGTTCCCTGCTGCAACTGGGAATATTCACCCAAAAACAGAGGGAAAAAAGAATTCATTGCCATGGTGATACTTCCCCAGATAGAACATTGACTATACAACAACCAGCTCCTTTTAGGAGAAAAGTACCATCCAAATATTCCTCCATTGTGTGGCTTCTGTTTGAAAAGGTTCACATGGGGAAGTTGAAAGCTATAAAATGATTGAAGATGTCATTTTTTTAATAGGTAAATGATTGAAGATGTAAAAAAATCATGAATTACTTGTTTTTTAATGGGTTTTCAAAACCTTTTTTTAAAAAAAAAAAAAAAAAAAGAGGACCAACAAGTTGCCAAATATGAGGACTACAGTTTAGCTTCCAAGTGGAGGATTTCGGTTGTCAAATCCCACTAATGTGAGGACTACAATTTGACTTTATATGGATTAGCTCGAATTTCAGACTATGTTTTTCATTATGAATGGCATCCCTGTCATTAATTCCAAGGTGTAACTATTTCTTCAAAAGTACTCTCGCAAAATAGATGTGCCTATATTTATCATAATTGATCTAAACTCGTTTGGGAACCGATATTTGGAAAGAATCCAATGAAAGAAGAGAAAAGGAAGTGGTTTATTTAGGGCAGAATACACTAGTAATAATGTAATATGGAGCTTTTTTTTATCTATAGTATAAGTGGAAGGGTTTGAACCTAAAACCTCTTATTTACATTCCCTTCCCCGAACCATCCAGTCCATTCTTCCTCCTAGTAATGTTGAACCTTAAGATATCTTACTGAGTGTTGAAATTTTTTATCTAACTAGGAAAGAAATGGAAAGAGAGCAAAAGGCAAGCTTCTTCAGGATTTTATTTTATTTTTTGTGATGCAAAAAACTTTCCAATCAGAAACAACAGGAGCAAATTTTCAAGGCACACATCCAAAATCATTTTATATTTTTTTTTTGTGTCGACACAATAATTGTTAGTCTATTTCTATTCTTACTCCTAATTCAAGAGAATCTAGAGATAGTTGGAGAAAGGTGTATTAGAGCATCTTCATCTTTTGAATTAACTGCAAGTCCAGAGATTTAACAAATCTAGGGTTTTGATCTCTCAACTTATAGCCGGACAATTTTCTGTAGTAGCCTGCTCGCCTAAAAGACTAAGGTGGCGCTTGGTTCGCACATCGGAATCAGATATCTTGGGTTTGGAATGAGGTCATTCATTCCAATACATTTGTTTGGTTCAAGTACCTGGAATGTGTATCATTACTATAGTTGATGTTTGGTTCGTCAACTCTTTCGGAATGGAATATAATAAATATATTATAAACCACATCGTAAATGATAGTTATTGGCTCTTTGTAAATGGGATATAAGAAATTCTCACTAATTAAATACATTAGTATAAATGTATTAGTAAATTTAGTCTAACTAATTAATAATTTCTATTAGTAAACATGTATAATTATTAGTATAATTGATAATATTAATTATATTACATAAATTAATATACATTATATAATACATATAACTAATAATATTATTATTATAAGTTTGTAACTAATTAAATTAAATATTATATATATAATTAAATATAAATATACAAATGTTATAATATAAATATATAATTATAATTATATAATATATACAAATATTAATTATTCTAATATTTTATATAAATATAATATATATTACATATTAAATATAGTTATTATTATATATTATTATATTTAAAATAATAATTATATAACTTATTACTATTACATACATGTATATATTATAATTATATGCACATATTATATACATTTATAAATATACATATATATTATAAATATATTATTATATAATATTAATAAATTTATAATATATATTATATAGGTATAATTATATTTAACTAAATAATTATAATACATAATTATATAATATAATAATATCATTATTATAAGTTTATAACTAATTAAATTAAATATTATATATAATTAATTATAATTATACAAATGTTATAATATAAATATATATAATTATAATTATATAATATATAAATATTAATTGTACTAATATTTTATATAAATATAATGCATATTAATATTAGATATAGTTATTATTATATATATATTTTTTTTAAATAATAAATGTAATTATAATTATATAATTTATTAATATTATATACATGTATATATTATAATTATATGCACATATAATATATATTTATAAATATACATATATATTATAAATATATTATTATATAATATTAATAAATTTATAATATATATTATATAAATATAATTATATTTAACTAAATAATTATAATATATATTTATATAATATACTAATATTATAATTATAATATATTATATATATGTATATATTATATATAGTATAAATATATAATATATAATATATAATAAATATATTAATTATACTAAATATTATGTAATTATAAGATTT